CGGCTTTTTAGGAACCGCCCTGCCATCGGGTCCGCGATTTCCGAATTTCTTCTTCTTTGCCCGTCCCTTAGCCTTCCCCATGGTGCTTGTGTGCGTGTTTTGTGTTGTTCGGGTTGCCGTGTGTGCAGTTGTTGGGCACCGCGTGCGTCCAGGAAAAAAAAATGTCACCGCATGGCGCGGAACAACAACAACGCGAATATCTCGAGAACCAGATTTTTCCCAGCAAAACCAAGAAATTCCCACCTGGNAAAACAAGATTTTCCGGTTTATCGGAGATAAAAAGTCAAGGAAAAAAAAAAAAAGACTCTCCGTCACGCGATGCGCCTGTAAACAGGGCGTTTTCCGGTATTTTCAGAATTCCGAACAACCACCTGTGTGCAGAGAAAAGTTGTCATTTGTGCTGGGAAATTTTGGGATTTTTACTTGTGCACGGACCATATGTGCAGTGTGGAGGAAGTCTCCATTACACACGGCACACAGAGCATCGCAGATACAGACTACTACAGGTTGACTCCTGATCTACGATTGGCTCAACCCTAGCCCTCTTGTGTGCAGCAGGCAGAGAAACAGACCCTCGACCCCAGACGAGAAAACGGAAAAAACGAAAAAAGACAAACAAGAAACAGAATGTCATTGCGCAACCGAGGCGGTCTCACCTTACACTGCTTTTTGGCCTCTCTACCTCTCTGAATATATCTCTCACTCTCCCTCTCCCGTTGCTTTTCCCTCTTCTCTGTTTCTCTGTCTCTACAGCAGCTTCGCTTGACTCTCTAACTCTATGTTGGTCTGGAAAAAAAAAAAGGGTTATGTTATATTCCACTCTTGACGAACGGGACAACGGGACGCCATATACGTGTGCACCCGGTGCTTCATGGGCAACGACTGCTGAATACATGCTCGGGCGCAGCGGTGAGAACAGGTGTTCTGCGCTCTGAAGGCTGGTAACGGGGGATCGAGGACTGAGAGGCAACTGTCCATCCAAATCGGCAACACTGGTGGAGAAAAAAAAGAGGTCTTTACCCTGATACCGTCTACCGCTTGTAGGCGTAAGGTCTGCGTCTGTCTGCGGTGGGAAAGTGTCACGCGCAGAGGTATCAGCGAATTTGTCGCATCTTCACCAACAGTAACGGAGCCGGGGCTGGCCACAAGATAGATAGAGGGCAAGAATAAGGCGAAAGGGATTTGGACAACGAGCTCGGTGTTCTGCATGATAGCTCCAGCACCGCGACTGCATTCAATAATTCATTCATGTTGAATCTCGGATAAATCGAACCAACAAACTGTCGGTACTCACACCAACAGGACAAGACATAGGACACTAACCTTTCTTTCGCGGTCGCCTGTACTGACAGGCGTAGGTCGCACCCCCGCCCGTGTGTTTACGTATGTACAACAACACAGATATCCCAATCGAAATCGACGGGGAACCAGGAACCAACGCACAAAGTCGTTCGGTGTTCCGTGAGATCGAAATGTTCGGCATCAAAAGAAGACCAACAACCAGAAACGGGTATACCCGGGCACGATAACCTCGTGAGGGTACAGTTGGAAATCAACACGCTCGCACCCCCAGGCTGTCAGCTGATTGGTCGAAAAACCGTTGTTGTTGTTGTTGTCCTATTTCTTCACATGAACTCGTGTCAGTTGCCAATCCCAAAATCTGGAGCCGTTACAGAACCGGCCCGCACTTAAGAATATGTTGTTGTTGTTGTTGTTGACTTCACATTAAACCGTATGCCAGTTGCTAAATGCCAAAATCTAGCAAAGACTCTCGGCCCGTGGTCACGAAAGTGCTGGAGCCATCTGAGGATCTAAAGAACACGCACACGTAGCAAGAAAAAGGTGTACAAGAGCCCGAAGAGGTACTACTACACCTATATATAATCCCTGCAGCACCGTACGCGTGCCCAAAACTGAACTACACGTCCGTCTCACCGTTCGACTACAGCAACATNCTTTGCCAACTTAGCCTGCCACAGAAACTTTGCTGTCTCCTCATCTCCCATTGTGTTCTTGCCGCTACCAGTTTCCTTGAACCAACCCTCTTCGATCGGAAACCCATCACAAAACTTAGCCAACGCCCCCCACTTGGTGATTGCATGCACCATGCTCATGCGCAAGCCCTTCCGTGTTTTGCGACCAATCCCATCCTGCACAACTCCATTCTCGTCCGAAGGAAAGTAAGAATACGGGGAACCATGAGCCTGGTGGACAAAACTCTCGTCCGTGTACACGATCACTGCTAACCCAGCATTCTCTGCCCTCTTTGCCATGTCCATCTCAACAAGTCTTTCGGCGTTCAACGGCGGCGTTTTGATCCTGCCTCTACGACGCTTGTAGCCAAGCCTACTCAGCAGCCCTCCTACCGAACGGTTGGATGGTGTTGTTTTATCGACGTAGCGACCACGTGCTGCGTGTGGCAGTCATCACCAATGCGTTCGGATTCATCAATTCAAACCCAGAAAGACTACCATACAGCAGAGCAGTTCGTGTACATACGTCACGCGTTCTGCAACACCGAGTCCGCTCCTGCCCATTCGAAACTGTTCCTGCGCAGAGTCTAAGTTGTTCGATCTGCTGCTGTTCTGTGACTACAAGTATACTGCTTGACTTCATCGGTGCGATACCGGCTGAAGATTCTGTGAGACGGATCCATCACGTACTTGTAGTCATGCCGTGTATTCTAGACTAATGGTCACAAGCATAAATATTTGAATTCCCCGCGGTTGGCACTACAACACGTTNTCGATCTGCTGCTGTTCTGTGACTACAAGTATACTGCTTGACTTCATCGGTGCGATACCGGCTGAAGATTCTGTGAGACGGATCCATCACGTACTTGTAGTCATGCCGTGTATTCTAGACTAATGGTCACAAGCATAAATATTTGAATTCCCCGCGGTTGGCACTACAACACGTTCCGCAACTCCCGCCTACTTCACCCGTTGTATCTTCGGCAGTCCTACATGACCTACCCGCCACATCTTGGTCGGGGCCGACGGCTCGTATCGACGACCGCCTGGCTAACACAAACAGTTTTCCCCCGCTAATTTCTTATTCCTTTTCGTCTCGCAGGCACTATCCCGGCGGCGCTGGGAAACCTGACGGTACTGCGAGGGCTGGCCCTCTCCGAGAACAAGCTGAGCGGTGAGTCCGTAAGGCCCATACTACACAATTACCAACGTTCTTCTGTCAAGTTGCGGTATGTACAGTTGAATCCTGTGTATGCTTGGTGTCTTTTTTTCTGCTTTTTTCCCGCTTGTTCCTGTTTTTCCCAATATTTCGCGCGTATTGTATGCTCTCGGGCGTGTTTCTCCCGCCATCTCTGTCCTCTGGGCGAGAGCAGCTTGGATGTTACCTACTTTGAAATTGCTTACTGCCGCATCGCCAGGACTGCTTCACAGCAGTAGGTAAAGTATGTGTCTCGGTTTCGTGTGGTCTGCTCTGTCTTCTGTCATGCAGAATATGCGTTGGCAGGACATGCATGTGAAGACCGAAACTTTCTTCAAATTGTAGCATGTGTGCTACAGAACAACGCAACCATAACTTGTGGCACATTTCTCACCAGTGAGCTTGTTGTTGGTAAGAACCAGGGATGTCAGCTGGGTGAGAGCTCCCAGCTCCTTGGGTATTGGCCCTCTACAAAACAAAAGCAGCACAGCGGGGAAAACAAATCAGAATATTGGTTTGATGAAGCATACTGCATTGATTGTTACACCTCCCTGGCTCTCACCCTTCGTAATAAACAGGCAAACAAACGCTGTGGTACATACTCTAGCGAACAAGCACCCACGACCCGCAGCAGGACAGCTTGCACAAAGTCGGAACGTTGGACCGAACATAGAAGGACGGTGTATGAACGTAGAACATACAGGGGCGCTTCGCGGTCGCCGCTATGCTCGTAGGTTGAATGGCGATGGCAAGTGTGTGCGGGTGGAGTTTGAAATGAGAGAAATAATGCCGCGAAGAGGAAACAAGTCGGTTGTATGTTCAAAGAGCAGAGACGCACAATATCTGAATTCGGTTGTTATGCGACAGCCGGAGGCAGAGAGTATTTATTTACTCGGAGTAAGGAAATTTGTTTTTAATGAACAAAGGCTTTCCACGAAAACAATAGGAACAGAGGGCATAAATAACATATCACATTGTACTCGAGTTCGTTTAGGAGTACTGTCACCATTATCCCCCTTGTTTTCGCTACCGTGATACTGATCCTCATTTCGACAAGAATTTCTGGGTATTTCTTTCCTAGCCCTACGTCTTTTGTTTTTGGGGAAGGTCATCTGGCTCAAATCCTTGGCTCTCTTCCACTCCTCCATGTTTTCCTCCTCCATGGTCGTCTTCGTCCTCCTTTCTTCCCTTTCCCTTTCCTTCGTCTCCGTCACTCCCAAGAGAAGTACCCTCATTACTATTCTAATATCATCGTCGCAGAGATCCCAACCGATTGGCCCTGGTGGAAGTTGGTCGATCAGTAGCCCATGACGTTTGAACACATGGCGAGTTCGCATCGACAGAAAACGAGGCATTACGGTGACACATTATTAATAGGAGCAAATCAAAAGATATGCGTTTCGGAGTGTAACTTTCGCAATACGATGCGCAGCACAGCATACGATACAAATTGACGATAAGGGAAAGGCGGTCACGATGAAGCAAATATATATAATTACTTGCTCTGTATCATAAGCTAGGGTACCTAAATTTGTACGGGCCCTTAACCGTGTCCGATCTGTTTTTCGATTTTTTTGTTGAAATCTTCGTAGTTTTTCGAGCAGGAAATAATTATTTTTATTTTTATGCATGCGCCACCCCGCGTGCATGAGCGCCCGAGAAAAAACCAGTCGGCCTGAAAAAGGCCGTATTTTGCATGTATTCTGCCCCCTCCGACCAGGCGACCAGGCGGGGGGGGCGGGGCAATGACAAAAACAAGGCAAAAATACCAAGAATTATCCCTGACCCTAAACCTAGCCTCCCCTCTACTCAACGATCCATGACGCGTCCCCCATACTAAAAGCAGCATAATAGTGGCCCCCACACTGAAAACAAGACACTTGGGGGGACCACACCAAAACCAAGACACTTGCGGGGCAAAGCAAGCAACAGTAGGGCCCTCATCCAACCCCCCCCTCTACTCAACGATCCATGTCGCGCNGCGCCCCTCATACTTTGACGAATGGACCGGACATTCTTTTGGCCCCAAATTCCGCCTCTTTGACACCCCTGATAGTTGTGCATTCGTTTTGGCTGGTCGTCAGCTTTCTACGTTGTTCGGGTGTTCTCTTCCCTTTTGTTTCCAGGCCGCTGTTCGACTTGGAGAGTCTTTCACGTTCTTCGAAGCAGCTGCATTATTCTTTTTTTCTTCGAAGCAGCTGTAACATTCTTTTCTTTGTTTCAAGCACAGCAGTAGCGGGTAGAACAGCGAAGAACCGCTTGCGTGGTCACAGGTCTTGGTATCACAGCAGTTTCGGAAACGCACACGTCTGTACTCGTGGTTACGCACGCCGGAGGAACACAACAAACACGCCCGCCCGCGAGAAAGGTCTGAACCGGTTTGTAAAGCGGGTAGGCCATTCAAGTACAGTAGAAATCTAAGAGGTGGGACGCCGTTTTGGCTCGAAGCGCGGCTGATTGATGGTACGAGGTTTGCTGTCGGTCGGTCGGCCGGTCCCATTTGCCCTCTCTTCAACTCAGAACAACACCCGCCGCCTGTTTGTTGGTTTTCTCTTTTCTACTGCTGCCATCGACTCCCACGTTTGTGCCGCTGTGCTGCTGCTGCTGTTTTTTTCTGCTGCTCGGGTCTTGGCTGCTCATGCTGCATTGTTACACCTCCCTGGCTCTCACCTTTCGTGATACACAGGCAAACAAACGCTGTGGTACATACTGTAGCGAACAAGCACCCACGACCCGCAGCAGGACAGCTTGCACAAAGTCGGAACGTTGGACCGAACATAGAAGGACGGTGTATGAACGCAGAACGTACAGGGGCGCTTCGCGGTCGCCGCTGTGCTCGTAGGTTGAATGGCGATGGCAAGTGTGTGCGGGTGGAGTTTTGAAATGAGATAAATAATGCCGCGAAGAGGAAACAAGTCGATTGTTTGTTCGAAGAGCAGAGACGCACAATAACTAAATTCATACGTTGTGCGACAGCCGGAGGTAGAGAGTATTTATTTACTCGGAGTAAGGAAACTGTTTTTAAGGACGCAACCCCCCGCGCAGACCAATCACGTATGGGTGCTGTTGGAACATGGCACGCCCAGTGCATGGGCGGAGCAATCGATCATGGTTCAACCTCGTCGCTGCCATCACACCATTCTGCACTTTCCTGCTTGATCTGCTCCCCTACCCTTTTCTCGACATGACCCACGGGCGACACATCATCTGTATCGTACCCGTCCGGCTTATTGAGGTTGCCTATCGTACCAGAAAGCAATCCATCACGGTCCTTGACCCACTTATTCGTCTCTCCAATGGCGTGGTCAATGAGCTTCGAACAATTGACTGCCTTCCAGCCACCCTCCTGGCCTGGCCATTCCTTGTCCCCGTGCCAACCTTTACGAATCTGCACCCACACCTCCCGCCTCTTTCGCTTCAACTCAAAGTTAAGGCTGACGTACTGCTTACCATGCTGCCAAAACAAGATCGATCGGTTGACAGGACGGCATTTAGGGCGGCGTCCAAATCAACGCCCGCTACTTTATTCTTCATGAACGTCACCACCCGAACCACGAGCCTCTCAGGGTGATTGAGGCGGATGTACTCCCGAGGTACCGTTGCTACCTCCGCTCTGCTTACACCACCCTCCCTGTTCCCTGCAGGGAATGAAGGACCAGGCTCTGTCGGTACCTCGAAGTTGTGCTCAACAACGCCCTGTTCGACCTCCTTACGCTTAACCCTGATCGACTTGGCCCCAAACATACGCAACAGATGGACGTTGTGCTCCTTGGTGTTGGTTCCGGCACTTTGACTTCCGCGTCAAATCCATGGTGGTATGAGGCGTTGTCAAGAACAAGGATCATCTGCTTGCCTTGGAACTCAGGGATCGCGTTGCACGCTGGACTAAGGCGGTGTTCAAGCCTTTCCATGAACATCGAGTCTGTCATTGCTGCGTGGAAATCTCCCTTTGCCAACTTAGCCTGCCACAGAAACTCTGCTGTCTCCTCATCTCCCATTGTGTTCTTGCCGCTACCAGTTTCCTTGAACCAACCCTCTTCGATCGGAAACCCATCACAAAACTTAGCCAACGCCCCCCACTTGGTGATTGCATGCACCATGCTCATGCGCAAGCCCTTCCGTGTTTTGCGACCAATCCCATCCTGCACAACTCCATTCTCGTCCGAAGGAAAGTAAGAATACGGGGAACCATGAGCCTGGTGGACAAAACTCTCGTCCGTGTACACGATCACTGCTAACCCAGCATTCTCTGCCCTCTTTGCCATGTCCATCTCAACAAGTCTTTCGGCGTTCAACGGCGGCGTTTTGATCCTGCCTCTACGACGCTTGTAGCCAAGCCTACTCAGCAGCCCTCCTACCGAACGGTTGGATGGCTGCTCCATGTTGCAAGTCCTGTGCATCCATTCTGCCACCGTGCGGCGAAAGACTTGACGACCGGGCTTGTGCTCGTCGTTGATGAACTCGCGAAGTTGATCTGCTTGGACTTCGGTGAGGCGGCGTCGCCCATGATCCTCCTTTGCCGTCTTCCTCTCCTGTCGGCGGTGGTCTCGTACAACTGGCGATGATCCCACCAGTGGTTGATGATGCGCCTGACCTTGTCGTGGCCGATCTTGAAAGTGCGGGCGACCTGCCAGCAGAGAGATGTCCAGAGAAGGGAATATATTGCAACATCGTTCATGAATGAGGTCAGTTCACTTGGACATTGTACAGCAGTGAGACATCGCACGTTCAAGCCTGCTCGTCTGCTGTAA